GGTCTTGTGACTGGTCTTGTGATTGGTCTTGTGATTGGTTTTGTGACTTCTTGTGACTGTTCTTGTGATTGGTCTTGTGACTGGTCTTGTGGTTGGTCTTTTGATTGGTCTTGTGGTTGGTCTTGTGACTGGTCTTGTGGTTGGTCTTGTGGTTGGTCTTGTGATTGGTCTTGTGATTGGTCTTGTGATTGGTCTTGTGACTTGTCTTGTGGTTGGTCTTGTGACTGGTCTTGTGATTGGTTTTGTGTCTGGTTTTGTGATGCTCTCTACTACCACACTGCACAGTCTACAAGAGTTATAAAAACTGCTGTCAGAGGAACACACTGTTTCTGCCAGTATCAAAACCAAACCTTGTCGGCATTCTATCTTACTCATATTCAGCATGAGCTACAAAACATGAATACAGAAATGTTTCCCCATTATGGTTAACAGTACAGACTTTTTAAAACACGAGTACAAAAATTCAAGTATAACTCACTCACGAAAGGTTTACTGGTCTAGCCTACCCACACATCGGCCACATATAAACTGAAGCCCAAACTGGATGGGTGATCTGTATGCTTTTCTTCAACTTGTCTGTGTCTGGGTTACCTTTAGCTGTTGTATTTCCTCATTCTTGGTCTCCCTCATGATCTCAAACTGTTCCAGGAGCTCGGTGAACTGCTGCTGTCTTGTCCGCAAAGTGCACCGAGAAGGGCTTAGTCAAGGAGAGGGGTCACCAAACTCATAAAAGGATAGCTTTCCAAACAATCAAAGAAAAGTGACAGCAAGACTATTACTATGGTGCACTGGCAGCTTGATAAAAAGGCCCTTCTTCAGTACTGAACATGTATATCCTATATGAAAATAGACCTCAGCCTTAACTTTGACGAGTGTTGCTTTTGAACAGAATGCCAAGGAGGTACTTTGTTCAGCACTGGAGATTTTCCCGATTTTCATGGCTTTTATTTTACATACATTTTACATGCTCTATCAATTACCAACCCAGTCAGGCACCCCAAAAGGATATGACTCAATCTCATTGGCCTGGCTGTCAATTGTCTGCTTCAGCTCTTGGCTGTCTAGATGAGGGGTCGTTTCTATGACAACAGTGGAGAGATTGGTCTTGACCTCTTCCAGTTGCGTCTCATAGACCTCTTGCAGTGTTGCAATCTCCTCTTCTTTGTCAGATACCTGCACATCAAGAACAGGAAAACATCACTGCTGCCTTCGTAACTGTTTTCAGCTTATAAAATACAAACGATCAGAGCTGATGCGTTTACAATGGTTTTATCAGACCTACATGTACATGTACATCACTCACTGCAGCAACTTCCTGCATACATGTATAACGTGTTTATGAATGTCAACCCGAGTCTACATCTCTAGCTGGTGATCATCTCACAGCATGTCAGGAGTTAGATATAGGCTCTCTATAAAATGGTAAGTACTTGCTCTCTTTGACATGGCACTGGCTGAATGACCTCAGTGATGCAGAAGTACCTGTAACTCCACTCATGCTCAAAGCGACATGTGGAGAACAGTCAGAACACAGTGCTTTCAAAATTGTTTTTGGTGTTTTTAAAAAAAATACAGACCTCTACTTTGGACCAGAAGTAGAGCATGATTTAAAACCTGACAGGATAACCTTGAGTTTATCGATTTTGTAACAAAACAAATATTTTAAGCTAATACAGCTAATTTTGATCACTTTGAAAAAGATGATTAGGCTGACTTACATGTACCTCCAATTTTAAAAGAAATATGTTTAAAAATCCGATTTAAATTTAACATCTGATTTAAGTTTTAAAAACTTTATTTCTAATTTTTCTAAATAAAAAAATTGGCCAACCTTGGTTTCTCCATTATATGAGGGTTCTGCAAGGAAGCAGTCCAGGAATGTTTACATGTGATTTCTCCACATATTCAAATTTACAGTTCTAGTGCATACATATACAGCCATGGTCCAAAGTCTACCAACACCTGACTAAAAGTGTCGAACTGTAAGTTTTAAGACTTGTAACACATCTACATGTATACCCGGCAACCAAACATTCGGGGTGGGAGCACGTTACTTTGGAGGGGGATCTAAGCATTTGGGGAAATTTTATGTAGCGTTTGATAGCCTTTCTGAAGAGTAAGGCTAAAGTTATGAGCTTTGGCATGACGTCCTCTGTAGTCCCCTACATTGCACTTATCTCAGTATATTTCAAACACCCCAAAACTTTGACTCCATTCCGTGGTGACCCTGTTGGCTCCCCCCCACGTATCTGCCAATGGTATGTGTCAATGGGAGAAAACCCAACATGATTTTTAAATGTGGTTTTAACTGCACATGTACTTGGCCTCCAACATGTACTTCACTTCACTTGACAGCTTATCGTGATACTGAATACAGGTCCATGTATTAAGCTGGAGGAACTTCACACGTTTGGAATTTCTCAAGTAGCACTAACTTTGTTTTCAAAACACAGGAAACTCAAGCATTTTTTCCATAAACCACAGTGCAATCACTGAACCACAGGGTGTTCCCAGAAATTCCAGAAAGTGCACATCATTGGGAGGTCACCGAAAGTTTTCAGTAAAAATGCAAAGCTCGCTGCTGGCGATGAAGTCAGAGTAAAAGACCAACACAGAAACCGATCAAAACCTGATGTTTTAATCTTCACTTCACAAAGAATTCTTAAAATGTAAGAAACAAGCCAATAAATACCTTGTAAAGGTTTCAATCATTTAAGCACAGTGATGGGAGAGTATGTGCTATACAGTCAGTTTGCAGTGATCAGTGATGGCAGCTTAACCAGCTTATTACACTGCCACTTATGGCTGACAACTGAGGCTTGTTTCCCAACAGAATTCACATTATTAGAGACTATGCCGACCATCATCTCTGGAACAGTTTTTATTGTCTGACCAGGCCATTTCCCCCTGGAATCCTGCTAAGCTTTTCTTCGACCCCAACACCCCATGCATTGTGAAAATGTTGAATATCACTGTCCTGTTTTACCTTCCATGATATTCAATTCCTTCAGTTAATTGTCCTTGGTAGAGCTGGTACAATACAAGATTATGTTTTCCATTGAACTGTCAATTTTGTTGGGCTTCATCATCAGCCTCATTGATGCAAAGCTCTGTAAGAAGTCAAGCACCTAATCGGTCAATTAATCATTTACTCTGACTGCACAAAACAAAGTGCTAGTTTGTACATGCACATCCTATTCAAGGCATTGTCAGTCAAAAGTAGCAGCGCTAATTACATTGGAGTCAGAATAATCTACGTCAACAGCAGTTAGAGATGAAAGCATACATCAATCACACATGGCACGCAGGAAAAGACCACGAAGAGCACTAAAAGAGCATAATAAGAGTCGATAACGCTTAGTTTTAAACTGCTCAGTTCCAAGTGCCAGGACAGTGCAGTAGCTACAGACAGCACTTCAGCTCTTCAAGGAGCACCATGGCTTGGTCTGAGAATACATCTACATGTACAGGTACAGTGGAAATAGGTGACCTGGCAAAACCTCTTTTAACTTTGCCAATTATACTGAATCTTGTTCTGATAATGACATGGAATCCACTGTGCTTGTTTGTTATCAAGCAGATGACAACTGTTCAACTGTCTACAAGAGTGTTTATGATGTGTCTTACCATATCAGATCTTGGTGTGGGATTATTTGTACTTATCCCATCCGTTATCACCATCTACATAGGATCCACTGCACTTCTCATACCACAAATGATTCTAGGAAACATCTTCTTACTGGAATGCCTACTGTCACTATTGCTACTGACTATTGACCGGTACCTCGCTATTGCCTGGTGTCTGCACTACCTACGACTGATGACACTTCGCAGAGCAGTGGTTGCTGTTGTATGTAGTTGGGTGTTAGCCATACTATCTGCCATTTTAATTGCAGTACGCCTCATTTTAAACATGTGCAACTACAGGAACATTCAAGTGATGAATCTCACACTGACTGGAATCATTCTACTGATGTTGTTGACAATTGCAGTTTTATTCCTCCACATTATGGTGATTGCCAGACGACAAGCTCGGCGCATTGCTCAAGAAAACCAAGTGGCAGCAGATGGAGCTAACCTCCCCCCAAGACTCAGCTCCAAGTCTTTCTTCACCGTGGCTGTAACACTGACTTTTTTATCCGTGTGCTGGATTCCTTATCTCACATTAATAGTTTTCACTGTGGTGAACATTCGCATAAGCTTGTCCCTACAAATATTTACGGCAGCTATCTTTTACATGTCTTTCTGGGTTGATGGACTCATCTTACACATGCAGAATAGAGAGTTCAGGAAGGTTGTCTACAAAATAGTATCTGCTGGATTCCATGCACTGGGACAGAGATGTAACTGGTACCAGGCTTGATATCTGTGCAATGCCAAATTACATGTACCTCACAGACAACAGAGGACCCCAATCCAGGCCACTGAGGACTCCTGTGCCACTAAAAAATAATACACAGAGAGGAGGTTTGCTTTATGCTGTCCATAGAAGCTTGACTCTATGTTTTCTAATCATCAAGAGCCAGGTACAGGCATTCGTCCAGTGTAAAAGCTCATCGACTTGGATCACGCTCAAGCCTTCTTCACTTCAAAAACAATTTAAGAAAAACGGCCAGTAAATACCTCGTACAGGTTTCATTCATGCACAGTGATGGCAGAGCATGTGCTATACAGTCAGTATGCAGTGATCAGTGATGGCAGCTTAACCAGCTTATTACACTGCCACTTATGGCTGACAACTGAGGCTTGTTTCCCAACAGAATTCACATTATTAGAGACCATGCCGACCATCATCTCTGGAACAGTTTTTATTGTCTGA